ATGGTATATTGTATAAGTGATATGCCACTCGTTGCCTTTATAATTGAGATGTGGTATATAAAAAATAAGTGATATTGACTTTCAATGATGGAGCGCTCAATTTCAAACCTTGATTTTTTTCATAACCGCCAGGAAGTTACCCCTTGGAATTAATTCGCTTTACAACATAACCTGTTGGCAAAAAAGGGAAATATAGCACAAATGACTGTATGTAGTATATTTTTTGTATTGCAGTTGTAGAGAGCACAGAAGTTCAGACAATGTATTTCCGGTTAATTACCAAAAACAGTGGTCTAATATGGTTACATTCCCGAGGGAAGGTCATCAGCAAGAACTCCAAGAAGTTCTCCATTGTGTTCACACATTGTCCAGTCAGGTAAGACACATTCACAGCTTTTTTCATTTTTATAAAATTAATACCCGACCCGTCCGGATTCTCTCAACGAACAACCAAAACATTCACTTTCTGAATAGGCCGGAATAAAAATGCGTCAATCAGTACTTAATAGACGAAGGAATAAATACTGTCCTTTACATTTCGATTTACCGCTACCTGTTCAAGACTTTTCAACAAATTTATATATATTATATTTATTTTTTTGGGGGGAGGGGGATTCTTTATTGTTATTAAAATAAAATCTGTCACACACCAAATAATATTGTAAGCGATATTTTTACATAAAGTATTTCCAATTTCTCTTTTCTCGCTGAAATCAATATGATAATAGAATTCCAATCCTAACCAATAAGTACTGTATTTTCTTTCTGAGCTAGGTTTCTTTCCGGGTTCGTGAAAACTTTCCTTTTGTTTTCAGATTCTCCTTAGTTCCTGGTGTTGTCCTTTTCTGGTCCAGATTATAAATTTGTACTTCTATTTTTACGTAACTTTCACGATTTCATTCATATAAATGACTCCAGACGAAAATGTTCTAATCAGAGAGGGCGAAAAGGACAGGGAAAATATCCTAGATTAAATATAAACATTTTCAGTTATCTATTAGAAATAACGTTGTGTATTTGGTATATTGATCGAATAAATATCTTGTTTAAGTAGAAATCGACCGCATTCCTCGGAAATAATGCAGCTCAAAAAGTCTTTTTCGTTGATTTAATACGAATTTCCTATCCGTTGTCCTACGTAAAGTTATGTAAAAGCGTTTCTGCTGAAACTATGTTATACATATTAGTCGCAGTAATAATGGGCATTGAGATGCTATAGCCTGTGTAGTATGAAGCTTGATCTTACGTTGTCATTGGTGTTGGTATAATCTTAAAAGTGTAAGTTGATTGTAACGTCACATCACGGTCTTGATGTTGATTATGACGTCCAGCCAAACATACTCACACAACGCAACTTTTGATGGCTCAGTGCCGATCTCCAACCATTTAAGAACAATGCTGTGGTAAAATCGTTTTCCCAAACTCGTTATGCTCGGCTATCATATTTATTGAACTCTCGCAATTCATTTTCAAATTGTAAGTAGATATGAGACCTAAGCTTCATAATCAACGGAAGTAACCTAACTAGGTATTTTTCCTGCAGTCGAAAAGGGATCCTTAAGTGACTTATAAACCCGAAATGTAAGAGTGAAAATATCATTAAGCAAAAAACACATTATCTTGTAACAATGTTTTCAAAGCCTCCCTCCTGGATATGTGTCCATAGGACACAATATGATATTCTATTTTCTATTACATGCAGCAGGTAAGGTTCTGTTTGCTTTTTATACGTGAACGAGTACCGAAAGCATACTATTACCTCGAAATAGTTTTGTCATATTTTAGGTAATAATAACGAACAAAATATATAATTCTTAATGTTTCAGCAAATCTGCGACATCGCCATCTTGGTATCTAGAATGTCATGTTTATTGTTTTATTATGACGTCATAATTGGCTCTTGAACATCTCCAATTATAACGATCCTGATAGTCTGTTTAATATAAGTGTAATTAATATGTATAATAATGAAAGAAGACATTTTTTTCCAAAGGTATCAGAGGAGGAAAGACGTAATACTCATTAAAACAAATTGATATATCGAATCAAGTTCTGACAGTTCCGTATTAGAGAAATATATTTCGATCGATTCATTGTAACCATGCTTACATAACATGAACATGAGATTAATATATTAATTCAAAGACGGACAAATCAAAATATTCTCGTTGATTAAAATGAAAGNGCTATTTTGCTACTAAGTTCTAATAGGCCGATCTCACTTAAAATTGGTCTAGGAATGATCAGCTCATGGTCCTGACAAAGTTAAGTTAACATTATACTATTTTTTACTCAAATTGGTACATATTTCAACAACAAAAATAAATACTATAGACTCAGGTGACCGTTAAGGCCCATGGGCCTCTTGTTAAGTTGTATAATTAATGCATTTTTTTATTATGTTTTCTTCATGATCAATAAAATATTGCTAATTTGACTTTAACACGACGTCTGTTATTTTCCATTAAACGTAGGCTTTGCACAATTGAATGTAGAATACATACCTGATATAAATAATTAATCTAAAGTCTGATTAATTCACCTTTGTTTACTTGTGTAAATATAACTGGTTTTCCTTTGATATCTAATCGCTAGACACATGCTTCGGTGGAAATAGCGGAGGGGTAATAATTTCTGCTCAGACACGATTTCTATAGAAATCAAATTCCGCTCTAATTATTCAATAGAAACGTAGGGAAATACAGTTGTTTAATATCCACCAGGAAACTATGCACAAAAGAATTATTACGCTACTTTATGTAATAATCGAAACAGCTCGTAATACTGACATTTAATTAAAAACACTCCATCGAAACAATATATCATGAGCTATCAATTATACACGTCGATACTTGCGGACAACAACCTGTGCAGAAACGGGAAGTGGGGCGTTACAAAATAGCTGGCCTGTAGTATCTCATTGCTTTTCATAATCAGGTGTGGGTAAGGGGTGGGCGTAGGGGAGGGGTTGTTTTGTTTTTCCTCGTCTTGGGGTCACAAAAGTGATCAACATTGATTTGTTGCCATTTTTGCAAACCTTGGGACCTTTATTTTATTCATATTGGTTGCTTTTTTGTTTTAAGGCGGCTCCTGAGGCAGCTGCATTTGTACGGTTGTCAGAATATTGTGATCGGTTTGGTTGTTAAGCAACCGTGTCAATGTTTTTAAAAACGTCATTGGAAGGATATTTTAAATTCACTTGAGTGGCCTCATCCTCTATGTCTTTAGATAACCTTGGTAGTTGTAAAGAATCAAAACCCTAAACAAAAAAACACAAGACAAATATTTCATCGAACCTTGTCTTCCCATGATATTCGTTTCGTTATTTATTTCATTCCACGTCATCGAGTATAATGTGCTTCTCCTTTAAGCAATGTTAACGCCGTAAAACTATCTTTGAGTGATTTTACTGCTAGATGGCACCATCGTCATACAACATAGCAGAGGCCGTATAACACTTATACCAACACAAATCCTATGTTTATGTGGCGTCGCCCATCGGTTTAAGTAAAATCGATGATGATTGGTTTATGAAATGAATGATATATTTACATTCATAAGGTATTAACATTTTTATATACTTTCCTATATACGCCAAAACTCTGTTCTAAATGCCACTATATAACAAAACGTTCAGTGGACAAGTAAAACCAAGCCAGAAAAAAACTCCTTTATGCTTCTTTATCTTCTCAAAATATGAGAGAATAGCTCTGAAAAGTCTTCGACATTTTGATGCGATGTTACATTTTACTTTAAAAACAACAAGAGAATACTGAAGTGTCACCATAGCCGTAATTCGAACTTAACATATTTAAAACTAAGGCAAACACTTGACCTGTATATCACAGAGGAAAAATATGTTTTCCAATGGGATCATTGTAACGACCATCAAACTTTTCGATAGTCAACCTGCATCTTTTAGAAACCCTTTGTTGTAAGTTTGTCCGTCAACAATCACAGAAATCGTAAAATTCGATGCAAGATCTTGAATACCGAATCAACTACAAAATGTAAAGACTGTATGTTTGGGGAGTAGGGATGTTATTATCAAGAAAGGAAAAGTTAACGATAGGAAAATCGAAATTGTCGCGTTAAGCGCACAGCTAGATAGTAAGCCATCCCTTTTATTCCTGTTGTAAGAATAGATAGAGAAAACAGCTTTAGTAATACGTCTGTTACATATTTGTCCGTGCTTCAAGCCCATTAAATTTAATAAACTGAATGTTAAGGTAAAGCATTACAGTGAAACACTCCCTTGAAGAATCTTCACTTCCTCATCGTTGTTTTATCGTTTCGACATGAAGATCTGAATCCCATGTGAATTTACATCCCAAATCTAGTAGATGAACTTTATCACATATGTTCGCGAATTCGAAAGAACACCGACATAATTACGGAGAGGATCGTTTTACATAAATATCTCACGGGAAATGTACGATACTTTAATTTTCTATTTTGTTTTACAAATAGTTCTTTAAAATGAGTTATTAGTGAAAGAATGGTCATAAGGAGGAGATTTAAAACAAAGGTTGTCCGATAAAGTTTAATCATGCAACTATAAAACATTTCAAATAAAAAAATGTGTTGCCTTGAACATTTGAGTTGGGAGAGAGTTTATTTGGTTTTTATCCTTTAAGATGTATTACAATCTTTCCACTGTAATTTCAGGGAGGAAGATAGCACATTCCTACAGCAAGAGTCGACAATTCGTCAGCGATTTGCTATACATGACCTTCTTCAATTGGTCCAATATGGCTACTGTTCCAGTAATAAACGAACAAATACTGACCGCAATGACAGCATGGTCAATCAAAAGACCAATGGTCAGATGTGTACTCCGCACATAGGCTTCACTGAGGATGCATCGTTGTCTTTCTACAGTGCTCTTGTCAGTTGTCCGTCCTCTCTACACGCCATGTCGGACAGACACTCTCCTGTTCTACCGTCAACTCACGTAGCGCATAAAATCACTCAGCGGGAGAAACAACTCCAGTTCCAGGAGTTCAGGAGAAGACAGGAGTTTGAACAAGAACGCATTGTCTCAGAACAATCGACGGTAGATTTTCTCCCATATCACTGGCAAATGCAGCAGCAGTCCGACACTTTTGCACAGCAGCAGCAACAGCCACAAACAGAAGAAAGTCGGCGTCAGCAGCAGTATTGTATTCGTCCACGTCCCGAACTGAACGTTTGCGAAACAAAAACAATCAAATCAGAGCCGGGATACGATGCACCATATCAGCCATGCTCTTACAATCCATACCTTGTTTTTCAGGATCCTCGAACCAACCATGTAAATTATAGACCTTGTGTGTCATACGAACCTTCAGTATGCCCTCACCCTTCGTCCGATCAACTGTTGTTTCATCTACCACCTTCTCCACCTGTATCACCCAGGAGGTTCGCACCAGATGGATATGCCATGTATTCTTCTCATCAACCAACTTACTATCCCTCTAGGTTTCATCCCTCCTCCCAACGAGTTGTATACAGTATCGATCCAAATCGGTATCACTTCCCCCCAACTTACCATAATGTGATTGGAGCTGCCAATAGCCAGCCGATCTCGACTATCATGACAGGTTCTGGTGCAGGAAAACGTTTTGAACCAACCCCAAATGTGACTGGTACAACTGCGAGCAATCACACAAAACCACATGCAAATATCAGACTATCTATGCACTGCGATTACTCTACGCCGAAACTACAAGGGTCAATAGGGTGTGATGACACCAAATTCAATCCGTACTCTTCTTTACATCATCTTCATTCTGTACATTCACAAAGGCAACGAATGCAGCAGCAAGGAGCATGTGGACATAACAACCAGATTGAGGAGGAGAGTATACAATACGACATTGAGGCTTCCATACACATGAAGATAGTTGACAACTCGATGCAAAAATGTGTAGACAATAAACAAGAGGTAGACCTTCCGTCGATTGGCAGTTTTCTAGATTATCTCAATGACAGTTAATGATGTTTGATTTTTCAATCAAATGCTCGGAACTGTGTGACTTTAAACCACTGGCGGTATTTGAGGTTTATTATCAAACTGACATCATTGGTAATACGTATGACAACACCAAGTTGTGTTCGTTGTCCTGAATCAATCAATTTTCGTTGTTGTCTTAAACCCATTAACTGTTTTGTTATTTTAAACTCATTAATTCTTTTGTTTTTAATCCATTATTTATATAATGGATTGATAATTACCTACGTTTCATTAAATGATGCCTTGTAGACCGGAAGTACAAATAAACATGGAATATCTTTCCCTGAGAAGGAGCATACCATTGTGATGGCCAATTTATTTTGTTTCAGACGTATAGCAAACAAATATTGTTTCACAGCCGGCCTTTGTGTATTTGTCTTATATTTTCATAGAAATGTTTCCGTAAAGAAGTACTTAACATTGTAACGTCCATGTAATGTCGTCAGGTCTTGCCTTCGATTTTTATCGGTGCCTTTATTCATCTCTGTACAAATATATTTCATTTACAGGGAAATGGCACTTTAACAATTACGTAATTTTGAATGTTCTGTTCTGTTGTTTATTTGCTTCTGACGTGAATTATATCAGTATATCTTGCTGAGATGAATTGCTTGTTTTTAAACGTATCAACTATATTGTAACGACGCGAAATGTTCACATTTAAGTGTTGTTTTTAATAAGGATGTCTCGATGAATCTTCAGTTCTCACTTTCAGAACGCACTTCGCCAAAAGCAAGAGTACATGCACAATAATGATTTGCTAATTAAACATTTCTTTATTATTTAACTATATCAAAATACAGAACTCGTTTTGTGTATTTTCTGTGTTTAATAAGACAAAAATGCACTTAAAGAGACACTTAATATGAAATTGCATTCTATTTTTTTTTTAAACAGCAGTATGCCTTAATGCATAAAGAGGATTCATTTACAATGTTAATAGCTGTTTCCCAGAAATTCATTAAAACCAACCCATTCATTTTTACATAACATAAAAATATGATAAGATTTCAGATTGAAATGTCACAAAGAAAATGATGCTTCCCCCCGGGAACTATATCTGCAAACAATTAATTGAAAGTCTGTGTGGGATTCCTATGTACTAGCACATAACTTTAAACGAATAGAATTATATATACCTTAACAGACAGCATTATATGACTTCATGTAACATATGAAAATAGTTACATTCAAAGTGTGTTCGATTGCTTAATATTGCTTCACTTACGACCATATGATTATGGTGTAGACCGTAGATGAGGCCACTCAATTGACCTCTGAAGTTATCATTGATTTGCTCAGCCTGAATATGAGCGAATATGCTATTATTACTTTTTTCGTATGTATCAGTTAGTATGTAGATATCACAAAATGTAGTTAAAAACTACACACCGTGCTCCAATAACGAAGCCAATTAGTCTTAGTTTGTAACTCGATCTATTAAGTTCCAGTCTTCGCCGGATGATATATAAGTAATTGGACGACCTAAGTATATATCAGATGTCAAATCGTCATCTAATTGTATTGATTCTACAGCTCAAAAGCATAGAAATAGAAGAAGATTTCCTGCCATGAAACGTTTATCATTCCTATTTTAACCCCGAGGCAACACTGATTACCCTCATTTACCATTATTCCTATATGAAAATTTGATACACTATATAATAGACTAAAGTTTATTCCAACGTTTCATGTCTATTTTGTCGTGTCCAATTTAACGTGTGGAATTTGTTATCAAAATATATTTTTTATGAACAAATATATACTGTCAACTTGATATGCACTATCGATTTTATTTTTCACCAAGATGGTCTAAGGAAAGTAACATCTCTAAAATCATTTAAGACCATGTTTTGAGGTCAAATGGTCCAAGGTTTTGAGGTCGGTGCCCCGACGCCGCGAGTCGAACCCGCAACTTTCAGAGAACCTTGGATATTTGGAAACAACCGTGATTATTTTAGGGCTTTTACGCTATACGCCAAATATAATCGTGGCTATTTCTTTAATCCATTTTAAAAGACAGACATCTTTTTTAGTTCATAGCTAATGTTCATTTAATAATTTCTGCTAAAATCAAAATAATTTTGCATAAAACACAACATTCATAAGCCATTTCTTCGACAAGTAACTTAAACAAGTCAGAGGTATTTGCAAATACCGCGCCAAACATTGCGGTATACGATATCATCACTGATTGTGTCCATTTCTATTAGGTATACGATATAACATGAAAAAGAGTACCATTTAGGAAACAACCGGCATTATATTTGTATATTTAGTGACGTTCATTATACCATAACATGCCATTTGCAAGACTATATAGACAACGTATGTTTTCCCTTCGTTATGTGTCTTAAACCAGTCTTTTTATAGAGTTTATATAGAAACCCACGAGTACAGCAAAAAAAAATCAAATGTTAAAATTGGAACTATCTTTTAATATTTCAGAAATTCCATTTTCGCTCTATAAGTGACGTTATAGATGCTTTGACGTAAAAAAAAATGTATACATAATTAATTCGAATCAATAAATTATCATATCATACCAAGACAAACTTATAATTCATACTCAAAAAGAAGATAAACAGGAAATGAAAAAAAAAGACATAATGAACAGCTGCAAATGTTAACCGTCCCACAAAAGATATGTATTCTTATGTGATGCTGACTATGGCGCTTAACTTTGATCTCGTTTGGGAGGACAACGACAGTGTTCCCAAATAATTTTTGCTGAAATCACCTTTTATTTAATGACAGGCAACACTGTAATTCATAGAACTTAAGTAGAATAGTCGCAAATACCGCATGAATCTGTCCACTGTTGAAGCAGGTGAACAGTTATGTACATCCATCTATGTAATTCATAGTCCATAAGTTGAACGACGCCTGAATCGGACGGCATCTTTTCTGTCACAGCAGACGACACATAGGCCGTGGAAGAAGACCAGTTTTGCGATATAGTTGCTCAAATCTCAAGCACATCAACACAACGAACATAAGAGTGTAACTTCCTTCTAACCAAACTATAAATTATAAAAAAGAACACAAGCCTTAAAGCATAAAACACTCAAGGGGTCTTCGCTCAGCAACCAAGGCAGTACACGCATTAGTAACCTCTCGTCAAAAAGGAACATTATTTGGATTTCCTTTTAAACTTTTTCGAATCTTCTGGGGAATCACTCCCGTCTGTAAATTTCGAATTTGCACTTAAAAATCTAGACAAAGATTTTATTTGCGCTTAGACCTTGAAAATTATACAGATTTTGGAAAAATATTAACTAGGATCTTAAATGAGTTTTCATTTCATATGAGATTTTATGAAACGAGTCTTAGGTTTTTATTTTTGCGAGACTTGGCGAGCAAAAATGAAAACGTCGAGACGAGTTACATAAAAGCTCATATGAAATGAAAACAAAGTTATGATACTTTTTATAACATAACTCAAAAAACGTACATTTTGACAGGTTTTAAAGCCAAAATGTAGAGGGCTTAATCAAACACACATTTTATTGCGCCATTCACAATTGATGACGTCACGTCATTGTCCATATTACGACGTCACAATCGATTTCTGACTGGCACAGCCAATGAAAAACGCTTCTTGGTATATTACACTAGTGACATATGTAAAAATATTACACGTGCGAATTCACTGGATAACAGGCCGATTATGTGATAAAAAGAAATAAGGAATCCTCTAAGAAACCACATTTTGTTTCCATTAGACAATTAAGTCGAAAACTTTAAAGGCACACCCCCGTGACATTTGTAGTAAGTCTGACTGCAGTTAAGCATCATCTACGAAATCCATATTGTTTAACTGCTTCACAAAAATATGCTAGCCCACGCAGTATTGTTGTTGTCTACAATGGTGTCCGACTTTATTCTCGTTTAGATGGACAACGACACTGATTCCAAACAACTTCCGTCTGCAATCACCTTATTAGGTCTACGTACAGGCATCAATATAATTCATAGGTCTTACGTTGAATCAATGCAAATACCGCCCGTATCCGACAGCATCGCTGTCACAGCAGACGACACATGGACCGCTAATGAATACGAACTTGACGATATAATTACTATAATTTCTAGCAAATCACACAATAAAATTTACACAAAAAAGTATAAATGCCTTTAAACCAAAGTATCCAATATAAAATATAATCGCCGTTAAACATAGAGTATATGTCTTTGCTCAGTAACTAGGCCACACTTAAGTACCTCTCATCGGTCGAGATGAAGGCCTTTCAAATGCTCTCTCCTATAGTTTTTCACATACATATCTTTTGTAATGCCCCGATATGCTAATGTCAACAAATCCTTTTGGTAAGGATACTGAATTGGGAGAGATTTTCTGAGTTAATATTTGTGGGATCGGAATCCGGTGATTAGTTACGATGAAGGCCGAAACAAAAGTAAGTTTTTATTCAATTCAAAAACATAAATGCGGTTTGGATCATGATTTATTTTATCGACAGTGATTCCTGTCTGCCAATTTCATATTACTACAAAATAGCCGATAATGTCCTTAATTACTTGCCACTGAACCTGAAAGAAAACCAAGAATATATGCCCATGCGCAAATAATTAAATTCAACATCATTTGCGCGCGTCTATATATGTTTAGGAAATTGTTTAAAGGGAAAGAGGAAACTTCGTTAGCAAACATTTTTTCCATCAGAAATTTAAGCTGAAATCTTTCAAGGGATGTTCCCAGGGAAAATTGATAACAACATTCAGGCAATCATATGCCGATGTTAGAAATATTGATTGCAATAAATACGGGTGGAGCACATTTGTCAGAATTCTTGACTCAATTATTCGACATTTAAGAAATCTACATTTCACGAGACATTCTGGTTTTGGTAAAAGAATGAGAAAAATTGATTGCGGTGAGAAAAAACCCTGAACATACAAGAGAAAATCAATAATTCTCACCAATTCGTTCAACAGACTACGGCCAAAAATTACGTCTGATGATGTCGTCTCATTCAATAGAACACTGACCAGCATTCAATGTCTGAATGATGTGGTCGGGTATTGTGTGCGAAATTATGGCGTTGCAAACATGGGAAGACATGTCCGGCTACTTTACAGAGCACGTCAAACATACTTGACAATGCTTTAGGCGTAGTATCATTTGAAATCCCTAGAGTCCCGTAACCGAGATATGTCAAGTCCATACAATCCCAAACACACATTTTCCAGTATCACACTTTTACCAATATCATGAAGTATATAAAGCCACAGTCAAACTTCAGAAACAAGTCTCTTCCACACGGAAGCATTGACCTCCCGGTGTTCCCCAAGATCCAAAGATTGTTGACAGCAGGTGGCCGGCAAGTAAACGACATATTTCAAAAGGAAAATGACAGAAACATTGTCCTTGTCAGATCCGTTTCTTTGTTACAATAAAATCTCTTGAAATGACTAGACACGTTTCAACACATGTGTGCACTCTTTTATACGTTTGAAGATGCTGAAGTGTTTGCAAGTAAAAGTGTAATTAGCGAAGCAAAGCAATTGGTCATTTTTTGTAATATCCGTTTTAATGGATCCGTTTCGAGTTGGAAGTCCAACTCGGATACCACATTATAATAACTTTAGAACGTGCATCTCAATGGTCAATGAATGACAAATGTTACGGGTCCCATGTCATCTTACATACCGTAAATGAGTGCAGTGTCGTTCTTGACTGTGTTAACTAATTGGAACTTGTCTATACTCGTTGTTTAAGACATCTGAAGCAAACCCTTTTTGTGAACAATTGTCAACCTAT